CTCTACCAGCGGACCTGGAGGAGTTTGTTCAAAGTGCTGGGGAGCATGGAGTCATCATCATGACTCTGGGAACTTTGGTTAACGCCTTACCAGAAGATGTTGTGAATGAGATTGCCAGTGTCTTTGCTAAGATGCCCCAAAAGGTACATTCACTTTCTCTATGTAACATTTCTAATTATCACATCTTAATATTATTGTTTCATTCATTAGTCCTAAATATGATGCTTCTCATTTGGCAATCAAAGAGCCATGAAGTGGTATGAGCTGAAAAACGAAGACAGAATTGTGTCAGTTGTGATCTAAATGATAAATGGAGTGGACTGAATTATTGTGGAGATTTTATTGCTTATTCTTGTTCAATGTGGTCACTCAGCGTTAACAACACTACTACCACAGTTACATAGACATCCATGAATCATTGGAGTTTCCCAGGGGCACATCGTACAGAAGACGTGATGAGCAAATGTCACAATGAAACCCACAACAATTCAAAACAATGTCTCTCCCCCTTGATCCATTTTCATTGTAGTGATTCTAAACAAAAACCTTGAAGAGCAACTTCAGAGTTCAAATGGCGTAGCGGTAATTTATGATGGTACAAAGTCTCCTTAACCAATAGATGATTGGTTGCTGATATATGTTGCTGATCAGCAACATCTATTGTAGATAAAACCCTTTTCATAGTAACGATTCAAAGCTAAGCGAGATGGGTAGGAGTATGATTTACCTTTGTGTCTGCTCAGTTCCTAGTTGGTAGCTCAAAATGCCCTGTGGGAATTATCATGGGCACTCCAATTTTCAGATCTTTCTGAACTGACAGATTGTGAAACAACAGGAGACCCAGCAAGGAATCTGCAATCTGCTCCTGAACATGTACTGACATGAAACCCCTCCTGCTGAATTAATAATCACACTGAATAAAACTAGCATATCTCTTTAGAAAATAGATATTATTTTGTAGTATATGAATATAAATTTGTTTCAACAGTCCAAACAGTATTCTTTAAAAAAAAAAAAAAAAAAAAACATTTACAGTCCAATGAACCTGCCAGATTGAAATGTGGTGAAATAATTTCACCACACTTGATATGAGTATCTGCTGATACTCATATCAACAAAAATATGATCTCAAAGGGATTTTAGAATCAATTTTAGAAGATAATTGCTGTTCAAGTTAAAATATAAATAGTAAATATTTACATATGTTTTTGATTTATCCATTTTGAATTAGGTGATTTGGAAGCACAGAGGAAAGCGTCCCTCTACTCTGGGCAACAACACTCTAATGATGGACTGGATGCCACAGAAAGATCTACTTGGCCACCCACAAATAAAAGCCTTCATAGCTCATGGAGGAACAAATGGAGTCCAGGAAGCCATTTACTATGGAGTCCCTGTGCTTGGCATACCCTTGTTCTTTGACCAGCATGACAACCTTCTACGTCTACAGAAAAGAGGAGCAGCAAAGATTATTCAGCTCCATGAAGTTAATGGTCACAGCTTTGAGAGAGCTGTTAAGGAAGTGCTCCATAAAGACAGCTACAAGGAAAGTATTCAGAGACTGTCACGTTTACACCGAGATCAGCCAATGCCACCCATGGATCAGGCCACTTTCTGGATAGAGTATGTGATACGCCACAGAGGGGCTCCTCACCTGCGCACAGAGGCTCACAGGATGCCGTGGTACTCATACCATTGCTTAGATGTACTACTCTTTTTGATGACGTCTGTAGGTGTGGTCCTCTACTCTGTTTTTGCTGTAATTAGATTTCTATTTTGCAAAAGAAAGAACAGAAAATATAAACAAAGCTGATTTGCATTAAAGTTATTTGTCTGTGGGTTTGGGTTCATAGTTGTCCCTTTGTCATGTTTTGTTTCTCTAGGTTATTTTCCGTTTCTGTTTAGATTGTCATCTTTTACTTAAATTAGATTATTTTTGATTCAATTACTCTCTTACCTTGTTCTGACGCCTGGTCTCGTCTTTATTCATTGTTATTCTAGTCTCCTTTGTCTTCTGTTCTAGCCTTGATATCATTTTTCCTATGCATCAGTCCTGTTATGTTCTAGCAGAGCAGATTTTGTTATCCTTTAGATGTCAGGTTTTATTTTCTGTCAACTTTTATTATTGTAGTCTTTCTAGTCTGCTTCTCCTATTCAGTTCCTCAGCTCAGTATTCTCCCTGTTAATTTAGATCAGTAATCCTCTTCACCTGTCTCGCGTTTTTTTTAGGTTCTAGTCTTACCTTTGCGTGGTGCAGGATTCTTGTGCATTTTTATGTCTGTTAGTTGAGTAAACACTCATGTCCATGTCAAGTTTTTAAGTTTAAATAAATTTTCACTGTGCCATGTTGCTGTTTGCATTTTGGCTCTTCCCTATCTGCCCCTTCCCCAATCTTGACAATAACATCACAAGGTGTAAAAGTGCTTATCCAATGAAAACCAGCTCAGCATTCGTTTAGCCTTATTCTTAAGGGCCGTTTTATACATTTCAAATCACATATTTCCATCTTCTGCACAATCAAGTAACTATGTTAGCTTCAGTTGGTATGAAAATGATGTACATATAACTTAAAATTAATTTGACCCTGGATATCAACTTGACACCTTGAAATTGGACTCCGTTTCTTTAAGAAGCTCCACTTTCTAACACTCCTTCTTCAAAACGTCATCAAAACAATGCTCCTCCATGATGCCGTTTACAGTCAATCTTAGGAGCGATGGGCTAAGGAGTAGTTTGTATGATAATCTCAGCAGATGCAGAGCTCCACCAGGTGTTTGACAACTGTTGCTGTCCCTAGTTTGGAGGAGCTGTTCGGACGAGGTGTGCTCTGTGGACAGAAAGCGCGACAGCAAACTGCAGCACCAAGAGTGGAGATTTGGGTAAATAGACAACACTTTGTATGAGCAAGTGTTTGGCACCCCCAAATGGCAGTCTTTGGAGAACCAAGGATTTCTCAAACACGCATAAACTCTCCAGTGTATTCAATATAATCAATGATTAATCACACTATTTGAAGTCTGGTTTAAAATAACTCCCTGGTTCAGCTATGAAATGATTGTTTCTTTCTTCTGACATGCACTTCTTTCTTTTGTGCACTTCTGCATCTGAAGCTTAATCTTACATAACTCACTCTAATACTCTTATGAAAGAGGTCATTGATTCGCTATGATGAAACCACTGTTCTTGCTTAACTGCAATGTACTGTGCGTGCCTTATTTACTAGTGAAAGAGCAGATTGTCTCTGCAGCTGGAGTTTGAACTCAAATACCTACTGGTTTATCTTGAACAAGCTGTCAGTGTGGGTACTCAGGACGGTCATAGTCTTTACCAACATTAGGTAAGTAAATTAAGAAACCATCTGAAATTGGAAACTGAGTGTATTATCACTTTTGTTGTTCTAGTCATTTTAAACAAATTTTAGCTGTAATCTTTTGTCCGGACTTGATTTGTATCTGTACTAATGAAATACATTTATTTCTGTTCGGGACATTGTAGAATCCATGGCTCTGACTCGTTTCTCCGGTATAGTCATAATGTCCTTACACCTAATCCTGTTGACATCACACTGCGATGGGGAAAACATATTGGTGTTCCCTGTGGATGGCAGCCACTGGATTAATATGAAAATACTACTGGAAGAACTTCATACCAGAGGACACAACATCAGTGTGATCAGGTCTTCTACCAGCTGGTACATTCCAGAAAAATCCCCCCTCTACACATCCATCACCATTGAAATGGATGAAGGTTTAGAGAACTTTTTTGACATATATCTACAGGAGCATATGAGGGTATGTGTTTATATATATACTGCATGTAAAAGCCTGTCCTACTAAGGCAGTGTTTCCCAACCCTGGTCCTCTATACACACTGCCCTGCGTGATTTAGACGCTCCCCTGCTCCAAACACACATGATTTCAATTGATGGCTGATTAATAAGCTTTTGTTGAACTGCAGTCATCTGAATCAGGTGTCTTAAATCAGGGAAACATCTAAGACATGCAGGGCAATGTGCCTCGAGGACCAGGGTTGGGAAATACAATGCTAAGGTAATGTGATATAAAGAAATAAAAGCTTGATCAATCATTTCGGAGCTTTCTGGTTTTACCGTGAAATGCATCTTGTGCAGTTTAGCTGAATAACAAACATATGTTGAAGGAGGAGAAAAATGAGATATTCCACAATTACTGATATGCTGAACTGTCTTTTGGTCCAGTTTCATGTTGGTGAAAGTCTGTCAGCATCTCCTGTCTTGACTTGGTAGTATTTGCCAAGCCAAGTCTACCAGTCTAAATCTACCAGATTATCAAAGGTATCCCCTGTTCACAGCCCTTTCTGTGAGCCCTCATGGGTTTTTATCAGGTTAAGGTCTGGATCTGTTGAAGATCATTCCAAGAAAAACTGTTCATGGTTTTATCCACCTTCAGATAAATCTAACGCCGTCTGAAGAGAAATGTGACCACAGACCATGATGTAGACACCATCTTTTCACTGCGGGTTTATGATGTTTTCATTATGCACAGTATGTTTGCGGTGATCTTTCTTTTGGAATAGTGACTGAAAGCCCATGTTAGGTTTCATCTGATTATAACAAAATATTCCACAAGACCGAGAGAAATTTTTGCACACCAAGATGTTTTCTTTTAAAGAGAAATATTATTTTAGTCTTACTCATTCGCTAAGATGCATTAAAAATACTAGAGACTGTCGTCACATTTAACATTCCAACACTAAACAGACATGTCTGCTCACTCTAATCTTGCAATAAGGTTTTTGAACCTTTCTGATAACTTTCCATATATTTTTAAAATTAATTATCAAGTCAAGATGAACTTTATTCCAAGGCAAAATTTGTTTTGCAGCCAACAAAGAACAAATGTAAACGAAAGTACAAATATGACCGACTGATATACAAAAATAACCATGTAATACATATCAATCAGCATACAGAATTTATGAAGAAACATTCAGCATCATTAATCTTGTTTTTCTACCTCTATTTCAACCAATACTTATGCATCCTTTAGGCTTCGAAACCTCCCTGCAAACTAAATTTCTTTAGTTAAGAAATTTAAATAAAAAAGTGTCAAGAAAATCCTACTTGGACTTTCTTGTCGATCTGAAAGAAACAGAACAGTTTTTTCAGATTTTCTATAATTAATGCAACATATGTACAAAAATAGACAGAATGCTCCAATTAAATTAAATGATGGTTACAACACATTAAAAGCACAGGGGATTGCAGATGTTGGCTATTACGTTGTTGCAAGTATTTTCTTTTTAATTTTTCACTCTAGATTAGCTTGTTTTTTATTTAAATTGCAGAGGATATAATGTGCCATGTTAATTGCCGAGGTCCCTCTTGAAAATGAGATCTAGATCTCAATGGGGTTTACCTGGTTTAATAAAGGAAATAAAAAAAATGGTTGAAATGTTTTAATGGTTAGATCCTTTGTTTTTTCATCACAATATTTATTTCGCATGAACCTTGCATTTGAATTGGCAAATCTAAACTTTTTGTTCTTAAATGTGTTTCATGAAGTCATGCTTTTAACCACGTTTTTCTGTTTCACAATTTTCTTTAGGCACAGCGAGAAGGGGCTTCACTTTTGACTTTCTTGAAGCTTACCAAGGATTTCCTTTCTATGATTACTCAAGCCCATTTGGTGTGGTGTAATGCTACAATTCAGATTTTTCAGAATCCGATTTTGGTCAAAAACCTAAAAGAGTCCCAATATGATTTGGTTCTTGCTGATCCAGCCATGGGTCCAGGGCTCGTGTTAGCTAAATATCTTGAACTGCCTTTAGTCCTTAATGTTCGCTGGATTACAAGTGGAGAAGGTCACTTTATTTTGGCACCTTCACCCCTCTCATACATCCCAGTGCCTGGATCTGGCTTAACCGACAAAATGGATTTTATCCAGAGGGTGAAAAACTTTTTTTTCTACAGTATCATAAAATTCCAGGAAAAGTTTCTTGTGGGACCTATCTATGATAATTTGTGCAATAAATACATCGAGGGTGGGTGTGACATTGTCTCACTGCTTCAAGGTGCTGACATTTGGCTGTTCAGGTCAGATTTCGTTTTTGAGTTTCCTCGGCCAACAATGCCAAATGTTGTCTACATTGGAGGGTTCCAGTGTAAACCTGCACAGCCTCTACCAGCGGACCTGGAGGAGTTTGTTCAGAGTGCTGGGGAGCATGGAGTCATCATCATGACTCTGGGAACTTTTGTTAACGCCTTACCCAAAGAGGTTGCGGATGAAATTGCCAGTGTTTTTGCCAAGATGCCCCAAAAGGTAAAAAAATGATCTTTTTCATATTTAGGTTTTGAGTTGTTTTAGGATCAGGTCATGGAAAATATCCATAAAAACAGACACCAGTTATTAAATAATAAATTCTTCTGATCAAGTTTGAGTGTGAAGTTTCATACAGAGATTTATAACAGTGAGGAGGAGGAAATCAGGAGAAATGCTATATGAGAGCATTGTTTTGGAGATCAGGAAAACTAGCTCCTACCCAATAATTTAAACGCTTTCTGTTGTAATTCAGCACGATGATGAATGACCATTTTGCCAAAAAAAAAACAAATTCTATATTCCTTCTGCATTAACTTATACTTTTTCTCCAGTTCTAATAAGAATTGCTGCACTGTTTTGCACAGGCAATTGTTAGCATGTCCTATCCAACAGCTGTGTCACCACACCGGTTTAAAAACTAACTTGCAATTTATCTTTAAATTATGCAATGGTCATCTCTCTATTTTCCAGACTCCCATCAATGTTGTACTTGTGATGATCTAATCCTTCAGTTATCCAGCTGCCAGCTCCTTCAGTTTTCTACTGAGAAAACTTCTATTAGACTCTATATCTCCATTTACATGTAGATTTCCCTCTCCAGCATACAACTAATAACTTTACAAGTCGTTGATAAGGAGAAAGTTAAAATCCTCCATTTGTGGTCTTACACACTAAGACCACAGTGGCATTTGAGCACTCTCATGTTTGTTTGGCTCTGACAGAGAAAATGTTTTGTCCCAACAGCATTTACGGATTGGAGAGGATCTATAGCCATCAGTAGACATTTTGATCTGCCAGAAAATACTTACAGTAAAAGCTACTCTTAAAGAAAGTTCTGTCTTACAAGATCAAATTCATGCTCACAAACAATAACTGTGAGGAACTCATTGGTCTGTCCTCCTTACCTATTTATTCCCACAGATCTCCCCACTCTTGTCTGTATAGAAGATATTCATAGGAAAATACTCATGCCATCTTTTTCTACAGTCACATTTGCATTTGTTGTATTTTATTATTATTATTTTTTTTATCTTTGTTATCCTGAAATGTCATATGTACAACAATTAGACAATGGAAACCCAGAAAACATTAAGTACCATCATCCATATGGTGCTCCCTTCCTGGGTTTTCCAGACATGGAATATGTTGTGTTGTAAAAAGAAAAAGACATTTGAAATTACTTTGCTGTTTTAAAAAAAAATGGAATGGCTGATTTCCAAACAATATTAACAGGTTTTATATTTCTGTATATTTGCCCTGAAGATTACAGCATTACCCATGCTACACTTGTACAGTATTGTGCAAATTTTGGCCTTCACTGAACATTTACATTGTGTGTGCCTTTTATTATCAGGTGATTTGGAGGCACAAAGGTGATCATCCCTCTACTTTGGGCAACAACACTCTAATAGTGGACTGGATGCCACAAAAGGACCTCCTTGGCCACCCGCAGATCAAAGTCTTCGTAGCTCATGGGGGAACAAATGGAGTCCAGGAAGCCATTTACTATGGAGTCCCTGTGCTTGGCATACCCTTGTTCTTTGACCAGTATGACAATCTCCTGCGTTTGCAGGAAAGAGGAGCAGCAAAGATTATTCAACTAGCTGATGTAAATGGTCACACGTTTGAGAAGACTATTAAGGAACTGCTCCACAAAGTCAGCTACCGGGAAAACATGCAAAGACTTTCAAGCTTGCACAGAGATCAGCCAACGCCACCCATGGATCAGGCTACTTTCTGGGTGGAGTATGTGATGCGCCACAAAGGAGCCCCTCACTTGCGCACAGAGGCTTATGGGATGCCTTGGTACTCATACTATTGTTTTGATGTTCTAATTTTCTTGGTGACAGCAGTGACTTTGCCCCTCTTTTCTATTTTTGCCATCGCAAAATTTCTTTGCTGTAGAAGAAAGAAGAGGACAAAAACCAAACAGAGTTAACTTCAGTCAACCTTGCTCAGAAAAATAAGAATTGTCCAAAATTGCTTTATTTGGACAAATGCATTATCTCTTTTCCAATGCCCCACAGTGCCAACATAAAGAGCATTTTCTAAATAAAACTACATCTGTCAAGGAATTATGATCTCACTGGTTTAGTAGGAATAAACTAGTGATAATATTCTGCGTGTCACTGATCCTCATGACTTGTAAAAGTTGGATGTTTGATTCCAGCTATGATACACAGATGGCAGGAAACCTGACAGCGAGTTCTTACTTTGCTGTCTGGAGTACCTATAGTACCTGATAGAAAGTCTTGACCTAATTTTTGCACATGTAAGAAATTATTTTAAATGGGTTTGCCATGTTGTACTTTCATGATTTGTTTGAAAATTCGACTGATGTGAAAATGCCACTAGACAATTCAGGGGAATTAAAGTTTCTCAACTAGTCAACAATACTTTTAACACAAAGTGGTTTGAATTTCTTGGCTAAAAGCTGTCTCTCAATCTTCTTTCTTCATTCTTCTAATATAACATTATGTATTGTAGTTTGAAGAAAAGTTCTCTATATAACCAAAAGACTTTAACATCTGCAGCAGGATTAGCCTAAGTTTACACAGAACAAATCAGAGTAAGAGTAAGAGGAAGCACACAGTCCTTATCTGGTTCGTCCTAATCTGCCTCACTCAGCCTGTTCTCGGCTCTGGCTCTTTTCCTGTCTCTGTCTTGTTTCCGTTGACTTGGAAAATCTTTTCTGTCATTGTAGTCTAATGAGATCATGTTTCTGTGGAAAGCTCTTTTCTATAGAGCTCTGAAAAAAAAAAAAACTACACCCACTTACAACTGTGTGAATGCTAAAGGGAAATAATCTCCAAACAAGAAAAGATATAAGTTAAATGGGGGAAAAAAAAAAAACATATGTACAACCTCTTTATAGGATTCATGCCTGTTTAACTTTGTTATATTTTATTACATTAAAGCTACAACCTTATGGTATACTTTACTAGGCTTTTAGGTTTTAAAACTGTGTTTTTTCACAATAATCCACTGCCTTTTGTTTAGTCATCAAATAATATCTCTAAATTTCTGGCTGTAATCAGAAAACAATATGACAAAGTTATCAATGCTTTAACTTTGTCATATTATGAAACAATAAAATTAAGATGGAACATTTCAAATTGTATTGTATTGTATTGTATTGTATTGTATTGTATTGTATTCAATTCAGAAAGCCTGAACATGTGACTGTTTTAAGTTTACCTATATTTATGCTAACTTCATATTACAATAATGGAAATAAAGCTCACTCCTTAATGAGAATTGTTTACATATTCTGTATACAGGGATCATGGAACATACTTGAATTTACTCAAACTTTTTAAGTTTGCAGTTAATCTTTTTTCAATAAATCATGCAATAGTAGAATCAAAACTGCAATTTTTTATCTATTTCAGATTAGACTTAATAGCTGTTCTATGCATTTATTACCTATGCACTAAAAGTATACCTTTGTCAGACAATCTCACCTTGTGAAACTAAAACACCTTCTTGGACCAATTGTGTCAATGAAAGTTTTTATAAGTCTTTTAGAGGTCTTTACTCTGTCTAGAAGGCTGTATCCAGTTTATTTTGACATGCATTGAGTCTTCTGTTCAACCTATCGTTTTGCTAATGACTAATTACCAAAGCCGAACTTTATTACTTCACCTCTGTTGTGTATGTTCTGATGAAGACTCATCCCTTTTCTTTAACCTTACCATATAAAAATGAGTAGCTTTAATTATCTTGTGAAATTAAAACACACAATCTTTTATGAGGAGCTTCACACAAACACCATCAGACTTGAAGTTCCCAAAGGGCTTCTCCAAGGCATGATATCATTCTCTCTACAGACATAGATCACATTCCCTTCTCTCTCTGAACCAATACTTGTCAGAAGCACAAATGGTTTCACTCATCTGCACAATAAAGCCTACTCTATAGATTTTGTGTAGGCAGATGTTGCTGTCTGTTCAGAGTTGGCAAACATCAACATAGTTGAGTAATGGGAAATTTTCCCAGACAAATTTTCTTCTCAAACACACAAAGGGATCCGATATGTAGTAAATGTAACTGCCCTCTCTTGGGGCGACAATACTGACTGCATAGGTTCTATAAACTTTTGGACAATCATCTTAAATTAAATTCAATCCATTAAACTTTGCTTTATTGTGGGGAAAAAAACTATGTATAAATTAACTATGTATAAATTAACAATTTAACTATATATATATATATATATATATATATATATATATATATATAGGAACAACATAGAAATGTGCAGTTCTAGGTACAGCCAAGATACTGCGCAGAACCTCTGGTAGAGGACCCGAGCTCAGAGGATGAAAGAGACCACCCGCGGAGGGTGAGAAGGGAATTGTTATCTATCTATCTATCTATCTATCTATCTATCTATCTATCTATCTATCTATCTATCTATCTATCTATCTATCTATCTATCTATATATATATATATATATATATATATATATATAAATATACATATAAATATATATATAAGTACAATACTATCAATATTGTACTATTCCTAGTATTGTACTACTAGGAATAGTGCATTTTCAAAGGCTTGTATATATTAGCACTTAGTTATTCATAAGTAACTAGGAAATTTAAAAGTAATTAGAAATCCTTAATCAGTGAATTTAAGCAGAATTATAAATAATTGTCATTATGGTCTTTTTATGTATATATCAGAGCAAATAATAGTTTATTTGCATCAAGCATGATGGGGTGTGTTTCTTGATCTCTTTCGACCAAACACACCACATTAAATTAATCCCCCTGTTTTCGATTTACACAAGTCGTGCATTTGAGATTATTTGGAAATCCTTTTCAGTCACAGTTCATCCATCATAGAGTAAATCTGGATGGGACTTTGCTCTTGTCTCAGCAGAGACTCCCCTCAGGCTCTATAAATTTTTGATTTGCTGCTATGGTTGGCTGGTTTTAATTTAGAGTTGAAGAACAAACAGCGTAGTTTTCTGGAATTGTACTTGGAGAAAAAGGAATGTATGAAATCTTTGGATCAGATTCTGGGAGACGGATTGCAATGTCTCTGAGAACTGGCGGACCATAATGCATACTGCACACTCATGTACCTTGTGGTCGTAAAAAAAATAAAATAAATAAAAACAATACATTTCTTCCAATGGAAATTGCACTCAGTATGACTGCTTGTTCATCACCTATATTACATGTGTAGCTATATTGTTACAGGGACACCTGTCACAATGCTCTCTCATTAAGATGTCACTTGTCACTGCTGTGAATAGTGAAATTCTTATAAAAGTGCAATGGGTTGCTGGTGAGGTTTTTAATAATAAACATGGGATTACACAGGGTCAGCAAAAAACAACATATCATGGCCAGACTTCCAGGTTCCAGATTTACTTGGTAGTTTTGCTCTCTGTTCCTATAAAATGGAATGACAAAATGGCCCCTCTCTCCACTTACAAAACAATTTTAATACATCCTTTAGATGAAGTCTATGAGATAGATTTTGGCATAAGCATGTTTTGGCTCGGATGTGTGACATCTCTTCATTATGGTTGCATGTTTATGGTGTGATTGGGACAGTTGCAAAGACAACTGTGGAACTAAAGTGTCTCGACAATTCTGTGTAACTGGAGATATGTCATGTATTTTGCTCCAGGATTTATATGATTATAAATCTTTTAAGCAGTAAAGCTAATGTTGTAATTCTTCAGGCATATTGTTGACTGGGCTGGAGACAGACACCAGACAATAAAACATTTTCTTAAACGACTTTTAAAAATGTGCAAACAGTGGAGTTATTTGACACGCGCAACACGAAGAGGCTGAAGTGGGCGTGGCCTACTCCATTTAATTCTGCATGAGGCAGAAATTCGATGATTTGAAGCTTTTTGTTATCAAGCTATTAAAAATCTATCATGCTTCCTATAAGCAGTTTAGGTTACTAATCGGACTTACTACAGAAGGATCAAGTCACTAAAACATAGATGTCAAATAATTCCAAATATATTCTGAGATGACCAGCTCCATATCTGAAACTATTTCCATTCCACAAATAACTTTTAAAACAACATTGACATAATTTAACAGCAATTATAAAACTGACCCAAAATTTAAATAAATAAATCCACAATAAGTAAATGCTATAATCACTGGTATCTTTTTAAGCACTGGTAACTGAAACATTCTTGGCAAATGACATAACTTTCTTGGTGACATCTAACTTTTCATTAGAGGACAATATCCTCTATTGTTAAGTATTTCAGGTAATATCTCAGCAATATGAAAAACAAATGAAACAAAGTCTATTTCATATGTATTTACAAATGTATTTTTTTTTCAGCAACATTGTAAATGTTAGATGCAAACATGGTAGAAACTTATATTCGGGACAAAGAGAAAGTTTAATTTTCCAAAACAAAAGGTTTCTTGAAAACTGAGAAAAAAAATATCCAATTTATTTTTCACTACCACTTGAATAACAGCATAGTGATATTAAAACACCGTTTGTCGTAATATTAGAAGCATAATTTTATACAAAAACTCATTGCAAACCTCCCAAAAGTCTTCCTAAGAAATGTCTTCACAACATAAAAACTTTAAAGGATCATTTGTAAAATGTCTCATTTTTCATCCCCCATTTATTCCACTATAAAATTTTGGCTTTAAGACGCAACATTCACATGAAAAGTATTTTAATTTCATTACAAAACTAAAACACATCATTCCTACCACACAGAGATCGGCTTAGATGATGTTAAGACAAATAAATTGCTTGATTCACTCGATTAATTTGAATTAGTCCACAGTTACACCAGAACTCAACCAGGAGCACTGATCATGCATTCTTTCTGTTTCACATCACTCCTTTGGTTTGTAATGACGTTTGACCAGCCTTGCTCTTCTTCTTACTCCAGCTGTGAAAGATAAAACAGGACTAATTATACCGGGTTTGTGATGGAGAACAAATGGGAAACGGTTAAATTAGGCTACAGAACAAATTAATTGCAGGTTAAGGCTTTATATTTCTATCCAGGCTCTTACTTGGTGGCTTCTTAGCTGCAGAAAATCCTCCGCCCTCTGTAAAAGGAAACAGCTTTTTCAGTCATGCTGATACATTGCTAAATCTTTACAGATTTGCAGGTAAGGGATTTCACCTTGAATGAGTCTGGTGATTTTCCCAGATTCTTCATTTAGCAGAGCTGGGTTATCACCAAAGCTGGTGATCTTAGACAAATCTGGGACTGAATGTGCAAACAAACCTCTTTAAAGATAGTCACTGGACATGCATTGATATTGACTTCGTCGAGTCTTCTTAAACTCAACCGTTTTTATGCCTTAATGTGCAGACTTCTTACCCGCAATGATCTGAGGCTCGTTCACCGTGGTGATTGTGGTTTCACCTTTAAGATTAGGATGGGAGAAGAAGGTTGGGTGTCATTTAACAGTTTTGAATCTCTATTGACTGAATTTGCTTCCCATTATTCCTTTGGTTCTTTTAGGCTAAAATCTCCTCACTCATTTTAGCATTTCAGTCTAGTTGAGGACTGAATTTTGACAGGCTTTGTAGCCATTTTGTTTTAGATATGCAGCTAAGTTTGGAATCTAATACTAATATTAGACCCATTTCACGTCAGGCTTCAGCTTTCAAAGAGATGATTGTATATTTATTTTTGTCATACAGACAAAGTCATGAGCAGACTAGTGACTGCTAGGTGTCCAGGGGCCATGGCAACATAGACACGGCCTCATCATCATTCATTATTTGCCACCTTGCTCAACAGATGGTCCGTGTGTTTGTGCTGATATGCTTTTTGCATTTTGCCAAGCATGGTGCTATTTCTTTTTATTATTTTCAGACATGCAGTGCCATGAAACAGTAGACACAGCTCTACATACATCTTCCGTTTTGCCTAGATGCTTGAGAGTTGGTCTTTCTAAACTTTGGAGCAACACCTTCCATTGAGCTCTGCAGTAACTGTCAATGATGCTTTCATAGTTTAACAAGACAGAGAGTGTTTTTGCTGAAAGAGACACAGTCTTAAATCGAGGCTTAAGGCCCTCTGGAAAGGATTCAACATTTTAGAGCAACCTACTTGTTTCTGTCCTCCTCCTACTAGTTCTGCCTTCTCCACCTGCATTAAAACACATGAGATCACAAGTGATCAGCTTGTTGCTTTTCATACTTCCTTGGTTGTTTTGGACCCACAACACAACAGATGAATACATTTTCCAAATGCACATATTTTTTAACTTACCTCCGATAATTCTTGTGACCTTGCTCATGGAAGGCTGTCGGCCGATGACCCTGGTTACCGTTTTGGTGGACTGGTCCACCTCAGCAACCACCTTTGAGCCAGCTGGTTTTATCACTCTTGTCACTTGTTTGATGCTTGGCTTCCCTTCAATGACTGTGGTAACTGTTTTAATCGAAGGTTGTTTTTCTTCAATGATCACCGTTTCTGTTTCTGGTACTAAAAAGAAACATGTTAAAAGTTATGTTTATAAATGTTGCAAAGGCATTTCTTACCATAAAATATAGCTTTAAAACTGTTTATATATAATTTTTTTATTCTGCTTTTTGCAGTGGATTAAGTTGTACCTGTTAAATAAAAGCATTTTGAGTCGACCAAAAATTGTGGATCCACACATCCACCATACAAAGGAAGCTCGTTCCAGCTGCCTAAGTTGGTAATCTAGTTCTGTCATAACCCAAATCATGGGACCACAGGTGAGAGTTGGTAAGTTGGTGGTGAAATCAGGTGAAAGTTGAAGTTTATGTAAATGTAAAGCTTAACTTTTTGGCCTAGATCTTTCATCAACACAAGAGTAAAGCAATGCCCATGTTAATTCAAATGAGGCCCACATCTGTCTACAGCTCCTTAACTCTAGGTTCCCCAGTCCAACACCTTCCTCTCCAAGACAACACCTTGAGGTCAAAGAGGGGCTGGCCTGGCAGAATCTACACTGGGACCAAGATGACAATAACTGATTTGGCAGTACAAAGATTGGAAAGCCTCCCTTCAGCCCGTACTACTCCAGATCCAATCATGCAGACTTATTAAAAGTCAGCTACTTGCATTTTAGAAACCAATTTGCATTAGTTTTATAACATACATCACACATTTCAGTACTTTCCAAAATGCATGCTTTTAATTTTCTTTTTACGAAGATTTGAAAATAATATGACAAAAAAAGAACATCTGCCAGAAGCCTATTTCAAACCTATGACTATGTTTTATCTGACAATATTTATAAGGGCCATAAAAAGAATTACAACTGCCTTCTAATCTGTGGCCTGGGGCCTTTTGGCCTACATTTAGACTCAAAGCCAGAGTAATATCTGCTCTTTGAAATTAAGTCATAAAGTGAGAAGGTAATTTACTCTTCAAACTTTGGCTGTTTACCTTTGTGCATATAATACTGTTGCAACACTGAACGTGATATTGGCAACAAAGTATTAAAATGGCTGGTGAAAGTGTTTATCACCACTTTTTTTTTTCACTGTTTGTTATGATACAACCACAGACCTCGGTTACTGTGGAGCCTAATGCTGAGGTGGAAAAAAAGGAGGCGTGTTTTTCTAAAACTTTTTACATAGAATAATGGAGAGTTGTCAGGATTTTGGGTTGTTTTTTTTTTCTGTGTTTATGGTTTTGATCATTTCACTTGCAACCACATATGCAGCCTGGCTGAAACAATACCGAAGCAGCTGCAGGGCTTTTAAGAAATGTCTCTAAAATATTTCCAGAAGAGACAGAACGTTTTACCCAATTGTCTTTCCAAAATAGTTCAAGATTAGTTGGGGCAGATGTAACGCTTTGAACTACCTTGTTGCTGAAATGTGAGACTCAGATACGTTTTGACTTGTAAAGTGACTGTGAATTTATTTAAGGATTTCAACAAACCTAGAAATTATTTGATTTCAGTTATGTCTGATCAGTTTTTTGAGAAGTAGAATTCCTTAAATCTAATTCAGACTAATAATGTTCGTCATATAAACACTGGAATAGTTTTTCAGAAACTGAATCATAATACTTTTAGCATGATAAAGTATGTTGGCAAGAAGAAGTGCAATTCAGCTGAATACAGCAGGGAGAAGGCGTCAAGGTCTTATCAAGTCAGTTACATTCTTTTTCCTCTGCGTCATCAACTTTCAAATTCTTCAAATGCAAACCTTGGGAGTTTAAGATATCTGAGTTTGAATTGAAGCCCAATTACTTATGAAAACTTTTTTTTTTCTGATTCATAATAATTTTAACGCTCTATGCGATTTGTATTGGCTCAGTTTAAATGAGGAAACGACTTCCACATGACCTTCATGGTCTATGACTTTAAACCCTTACTACCTCATTTTAGAAATACCAACTGACCCAAGCAGGCTTAAATGATAATGAGAGTGGAGGGAAAAAAAAGCAGGACCAGACAATAGTTTTAATGTACTAATGAGCTTCGTCTTGCTTCATAATGGATTTCTATAGTTATTATTCATTAAACAACATTTATGCCAATAGAGCCTGCAGGGACTCCACAACAAAGCTGGTCTCTATCTTTTAACAGTGTTGTTGTCTTACCTTTAATGTAACGAGTAGTTGTGATGATCCGTTCTGTAAAGTAGTAAAATCAGTTTTAGCTTCTATTTTTACTCATCTTACTGCATTAAGGGAAAAAAAAGGAACACCTACTAATAAAGGTGAGTGGGATCTCAGCGTAAGTAAATCCAGAAACAAACTAAAGAACAAAAAGCACAAACAGATGATATACTAAACAGAGTACTTTTCTCTTTTAATCATGATTGTTTTTTTTTTTTGTTGTTGTTCCAATACCTTTATTTCAATATACTTAATCAGCTTTTGCAGCACCAACAGGAGGTCCTGACGGCCCACAGGTAGGTCTATACATGACATGCAACATATCTTCTTGATTATGCAATATGTATATTATGCCACTCGAACACACATGATGGGGTGTTGCATGCCATTTCTTACCTGCTGGGTAGAGAACATTTTTCACCACATGGACCACACCATTTGTAGCCATCAGATCACTCTTGGGAATCTCCACTGAGTTGACACGGATAGAATTATTTTCCTTTGGGGGAAAGAGAAAAAAACCTTGAGAATATGCCTTTTTTTTATAATTTTGAAAGAGAAATGTATTAGAAAACCAAAATATCGCAACACTTCATTGTAGCCGACCCCAAAAATAAACAAGCTGAGGCAGGTAGAGGCTCAAAGGGAGGTAGACATGAGGAGTGAAGGTAAAGAATTTGCATTGATGTTTAAGATAAGATATTATGCTTTATTACCCTTGGCTGTTCTCCACAGCATATTGTTTAGCCTTGAAGCAGTTTTCATATAGGCCTCTCTGATGTGAGTTTAAAATGAGATAGTTGAAAAAAAGTTGAATCCAAAACTCAAATTCCCAGAATGTGTGACCATAAAATTTAATTACACAATGACAAAAGCATGTTTATGAAGAAACAGTAAAGGTAGTTAAAGGTAAAACAAAGGTTCAGTGTTAAAAAAAAACACTCAACCTTTGTTTCATCTTTTTAACACTCAACAAAGGTTGAGTGTTAAAAAACACTCAACCTTTGTTTTATCTTTAACATATTTCATTCAAGAGATGCTTGTGCATGCAATTTACCAGAAGTTGGAAGTACGTTTAGATTTTTTTTTGGTGACATTTGTGTTGCATATGTGCCACTAAATCCATTTGAAAGCAGATTTTGAACTTGTTTTAGGATCTTACATGTACAGTTTTAAAGTTCTGAAAATATGTGGTCAAGTGTAGAAAACAAAATGAATTGGATCGATAGGAAAAAAAAAAGATTTTCCCCTCCAGATCAGAACTCAGTCTCTGATGCCACTGGAGGGGATGAAACATCTTGCTGTGGAACCAGAGAATGGCAGATTGATTAGAATGTTATCTGGAGAAATGTGTCTTCTTCTTCGGTTTGTTGTGATGAAAAAGAAATACTGAGCCCAAAAGCAAGCTGTAAATTTACTTATCTGTCTCAGTTCAGACTCTTGCCTCGAGGTCACTCGAGGTAACCTATAGATCATGAATAAAAGAACAAGATTCCGGCTACAAGAAGCTGAAATTAGCTTTTTACACAAGGTGGCTGTGTTTGGTCAGGAGCTTCATTAGGATCTGCTACTCGAAAGGAGTCAACCCTCACTGAAGAGGTAGATTTGGGCATCTAATTAGGATGCCTTCTTGTGAAGACTTTTGGGCATGTTCCAAAAAAAAAAAAAAAAAGGTTTCAAAATGACCACTTAATTGATGACAGATGGATGTGTTCATTCAATTTCTGCTTTTTTGAGTTGAGGATGTAGAAGAAATGAAAAAGCTCTTACAGATTTAAGTTGGAGGGGTTTGCCTTGCAGAGTTTTCAATAGATTAGTCACTTTAGCTTCTAGTCCTCCATTGATGATGATGCCCTCACTGAAGTGGTAGAGAAGAATGTTTCTCAAAGCCTTTACATCACCTGCCAATGACGACACAGACGATTTTGATTTGATTACTCAAGTGCATACCTGAGCTACTAAAATCGCGGTGGGGTTTTGATGGATACTAACCTTTAAGCAAATCCAAGTCATCTGCACCAAGGGCTTCAAATGCCTCGTCAGTTGGTGCAAAGATTGTGTAGGAGCCATTCTGCTTCAGCAGATCTTCCAGACCAGCTGTTTCCATTAGTGACAAGAAAATCCTGCCATTGCCATTATTTGTCAGTGGGAGAACAGAAAGAAAGAACAAACAAACAAACAAAAAACATTTAAAATGTTAATTTAAAAACAAAAAAACAAAACAGGAATTAAGGATCATGAGCATTCAACAGAAATTATGTTACCATTTTAAAATTTACAATCAGTGAAGGCAAATGAAGAACATGTGAGCTGCTAAGTACGGTGACCGACAGGTGCAAATGCTCAGCAACAGAGAAAACATGCAAACAAAAAAAGAGAGATGCAAACAGATGAAATCCAGCAAACAAAACAAAAAATAAAAAAAAAGAGACGCAGACAAAAAGCAAATGAAATTAAGCAAACAAAAAAGAGACGCAAACAAAAGTCCCTCCTGCTTTGCTCGACCAAAACAGCAGAAGATGCCTCAATCAGTACTGCAGGATATTGAATGAATAAATACATTACTTTAGTGAACCAAAAATATTTACAGCTATTACCAGACTTAATGTGTTTCACCTCCACTCATAGGGGAAAACTATTGGGAGTTTTTAAAAACGATTTGGCGGGAGACATGGGTTCTCTCTCGGTGTACCGAACCTGGAGCGCTCGGCCAGCTGACAGCAGGCGAGGGGAGCTGGCTGTTAATGCAGCGGGAGCAGACAACTCCGAAAACGTTGGAACAATATTGTAATTAAGTGATTTACTGAGCAGATATTTCAGATCTATACATCTACATAGTCGCCTAAAAACTTTGTAAAAAATCAGTTTGAGTAATTTTAAGTGGAATACAGCAAAAATAATTGTGCCGCCATTTATGCTTTTCTGAACACCCGTTTTAAAGGATGCAGACCCTAAATTTGGACGCAGCTGTTTTTGTTCGACTCCCTCTAGTGGTCTGGAGCACTTCCGTTTTCAGCACTTTTTGTTTGCATCTTTTCTTTTGTTTGCTGAATTTAATTTGTGGTTGCAGTCTTT